CCACACAATGGGTCAGTCTTGCTCCTGCCACTGAAAACCAGAAAGGTCCAAAGTCAGCAGAGGATCAGCTGCTGAACAAGGACTCGGAGAACATGAGAATGCAGACTAAGCCGGAGGAGTCAGAGGTCCTGTGGACTGGGGTCATGAGAGCCGTTCAGAAGCTGTAAACCAATAGGACCTTGCACAATACCTGCGGAGACTCCCTGGTTGTCCTTGTTGCCCAGGATTGCTTTTGCAATTCTGAGTCCCTTCTGGTTCCAGATGAATCTAAGGAATGTTTTCTCAAGATCCGTGAGGTATGCTAATGGCAGTTTAATGGGAATTGCATTGAATCTGTACAACAGTTTTGGTAGTATGGTCATTTTCACAATGTTGGTTCTTCCTATCCATGAGCAAGGAATATTTTTCCATTTATTGAAATACTCTTTCATCTCTTTTTTCAGAGTACTGTGTTTTCACTGAATAGATACTTACTTTGTTTGTTAGATTGATTCCTAAATATTTCAATTGCTTGGATGCTATTGTGAAAGGTATGGTTTCCCTAATTTCTCTCTCAGTCTGTTTGTTGTTTGTGTATAGGAATGCTATCGATTTCTGGGTGTTGACTTTGTATCCAGCTACACTGCTGAATTTGTTGATTAATTCAAGGAGTCTTCTTGTGGAGTTTTTGGGGTCTTCCATGTGAAGTATCATGACATCTGCAAATAGTGAGAGTTTTACTTCTTCCTTTCCTATCCTTATTCCTTTCATTCCTCTCTCTTGTCTAATTGCTGTGGCTAATGGTTCCAGAACTATGTTGAACTGGAGTGGGGACAGTGGATATCCTTGTCTTGTTACTGATTTTAAAGTAAAAGCTTTCAATTTTTATCCATTTAGTATGATGTGGGCTGTTGGTTTGTCATAGATGGCTTTGATCAGGTTGAGGTAAAGACCATCTATTCCTATTTTCTGTAGTGTTATTATCATGAATGCATGTTGGACTTTGTCAAAAGCTTTTTCTGCATGTATTGAGATGATCATATGGTTTTTGTCTTTGGCTCTATTGATATGGTATATAAAACTAATTGCTTTGTGAATATTGAACCATCTCTGCATTCCTGGAATGAATCTGACTTGGTCGTGGTGTATGATTTTCTTGATGATTTGCTGCATTCTGTTTGCTAGTATTTTATTTTATTTTATTTTATTTTATTTTATTTTATTTTATTTTTTGTCTTTTGTCTTTTCTTCCAGTACCAGGAATCGAACTCACGACCTTGCGCTTGCCAGGCAAGCACTTTGCCACTGAGCTAAATCCCCAGCCCCCTGTTTGCTAGTATTTTATTGAGTGTCTTTGCATCTATATTCATTAGGGAGATTGGTCTGTAGTTCTCTTGTATCTTACAGCTAGCTGCACAGTGGATTCCTTATGGGGTAGTCATTAGTGCTATTTACACATGTTCTAGATCTCTTCCTCTAAGAGATTATAGATTTCCAACTCCCTCTAAAGTTAGGGATGACCATGTGATGCCTTCTGGCCAATAAAATGTGAACAGAAATGTGTGTCATTTCCTGGAGAAAACATTCAGTTGCCTTGTGTAGGGTGCTGCTGCTGTTTCCTCCTGCTCTAAGGGCAGTGCCCAGGTCCTTGGGAGACTACGGTGAGCAGAGACTTCCACTATGCTTCAAATAAAATAAACAAATTATTACTAATCCAGAGAGATATGGAGACTGTCTATTGTGGTCACATAATGTGACCTATTCCACCTGCTCTATTTTGTGAGGACAGGACCCATACCACTTATACTTGTGTCTCTGTAGTGCCATATCCAAAACAAACTAGAACATAAATATCTTATTTAAATGTTGATTTCTGATTTTTAATTCATAATATCCAACTTCAAATATCCCACTCCTATCTGCTGCTGCTCTCTGCTAAAACATAACTTCTGTTCTGTTTAACACAACATGATTTCTAAAATATAAAATTAAAACTTCTAACCAGCTCAGAAGCTGATTTTGATCACTTGTAGAATGTGCTGTAGGGAATAAAATGTCACGTTCTGATGACTGAGTGAAAATCTCTGCAGCTCAGCTGTGGGAGGGTTCTTCAGGGACACAGCAGGAAGGGGACTCCAACACATGCCCTGCAGCTGAGCCAGAGCCAAAGGTCTGTAATAAATTAGTTGACTAGGGGATGTGACTGTCACAGTACAGGTCTCCCTGAATGCTCTGTTCCAGTAGATGGCACAATAACATGGCAGTAAATGTAATCAAAGTGTTTCTCCATTTGCCTTTATATGCCTTATTAAAACATCCTTCACTTTTGAGCATATAATTCTGTGAAGGAAAATAAAAATCATCTCTTGATGATCCTTTTACATTCTGCTGTAAGATAATGGAATATTTGAAAAAGAAAAGGGTTTCAAAGCAGAGTCTGTTCTTTAAAGAAATGCCTGTGTTGATTCTCTCCAGTCCTTCTGGTTACTTGAAAGGCATATTTTTTAACCCCATATGCATGTGTTATGCATCTCTGCAGTCTTCACGCATGTGAGCACACAGTTAGTTACTACAAACACTAGTTCATCCAGTTGAAAAATAAAGAATCCACAGTATTTTATTTTCTTCCCCAGTCAGCAGTTCTAACATAATTCCTGTTACCTCCTCCAGCAACACACTTGAAAACACACCCTTTCCTACAAATAGATAGGTTTAGCTAATCGAAAATTATTGGCTTAATACCCTAAAATTGAAAATTAAGCATACAGGTACTATTTCTATGGTTATGTTTTCTAAAGATCAGTTGCAAATTATTAGCCAAAGCTTTCACAAGATGTCTAACTTTATTTCTTATTTATAAATGTCAAGTGTTTTATTTTAGGAGAAAATATGTCTACATTTATTGTAACTATAATATAATTTCCTAAAGATAGTTTCTGAATGACAACCTCATCTCCAAAGTAAAAATAAACTTATAGGGTTCTTATAATGTTTAACAAAAGCAATCTAAAGAAAGAATCCAATGTTTTCTCTTAAGCTAAACAGAATATTTAGGGACTATAGGAAATATTTCTCTAGTGTAAAAACATGCATAAAAAATGTGATTGCTCAGGCTGATGCTATAAAGGGAATGAGAATACCTTTTCTTTGTTTCATATAAGGAGGCCAAACAGGAGGGGGAAATCCTTTGTTTTGCTAGGATGAGCCACTAGGCAGGTTACTTTAAAATCTATCAACATAATACAAATGAGAAACCACAAGGAAAAAAACTTGATGAATCCAAATACACAGGTATTTCAAACTTTATTATCAAATTAAGTAGCACCAAATTAAAAGATAAAGTTAGAATATTGGCAACATAAAACCTTAACACAGAGAGGTTTTTATAGGTTGGCTACACACACTCTTCACCCCCTCCCTGCTCCCCACAAAGGAGAGAGATAAACCATGATCCATAAACATGATGAAAACAGAAGGGCTAACTTCTCCGGTAACATTTTAAACCCAGCACATTGGCAAAATGTTTAAAATCACCAGTAGTTCTCCGTCAGGTGTATGAACAAAGTCCTGTTGCATCTGGTGGTAATAAATACTGATGCTACCTTTTGACAAAGTAATTTGATTAGATTTAACAAAACCTCTGTGCTATAGTCTGAAAGTTTATGCTCCTCAAAGTTCATATGTTGAAATCCATACCCCAAGGTGATAGCATTATAAGGTCATTGGGAGGTGATTATGTCACAGGGGTAGAAGCCTCATGAATAGGGTTAGTGTCCTTATACAAGAGGCCCAAGCATGGTGTGGTGGTACATGCCTGTAAGCCCAGAGTTTGGGAGGCTGAGGCAGGAGGATCACTGTGAGTTTGAGGCCAGTCTGGGCTCGATAGTGAGTTCAAGACCAGCCTGCACTACATAGTGAGACCATCTCAAAAAAACCCCAACAAACAAACAAACAAAAAAAAGCGGTCCAAGAAATATCCTTTGCTCCTTCTACCATGTGAGGAAAACACTATCAGCCTGAAAGTGGGCTCTCACCAGATAACAAATCTTTCAGACACCTGGATTTTGGACTTCCAGCCTCCAAAACTATGAGAAATAAATATATTGTTTATAAAAACTTCTGAGAGCCTTCAAAGAAAGCAAGCATCCCCTTCTCCTACTCTTGGCCACACCGTGGAAAATGCAGCAAGTGAAGAATAGCAAGCAGGGACACAAAAACTGAAGCACCACAGCAAGGCAGCCAGGCTGGCAGGTGTGGGGCTGAAATGGCCACTTTCCACAACAGTAAGATGCCTGCCACAGTCTCACATTTACAGTCAGTTTGGCTGCATCTCCAGCACAGGCTGAGGGCTGTAGTTTTCTCCATATAAGGCAACAACAAAGATTTCAAATGGACCAAACATTTTATATTGGTGTCAACAGCACTAACACAGCTTCAGCTGGCAGAGTGCAGGGAAACCCAAGTCTGTGCATCTGTAATTCCAGAGAAAATGCCTGAATACCATCTGTTCTCACCCACCCTCTCACCCCACCCAGTGAGGCCCTTTCTGCAGGGCACACTTGCCCTAGTCATGAGTCTTGGCCTAAGAATTTCAAATCCCAATTTCCCTTGAATAGAGAGATTTGGAAAGTTAATTTCAACAGAGCAATTAGTAACACAGCAGATCTCTTAATGCTGCAAATAGTTGGCTGCCCAGCTGTAAAATACATGATTTGTTTCTGGATTTTATTCTACAATTAAATGGACAGCAATCCTTTCACTGTAGATAAAGGTAGGAATGGGGTCCCGGAACTAGATTATGATGACATAGCACGGGAAATCATATGTGTACTGGTTCAAGCTCACAGAAGTTGAACGGCAACAGGAAATAAGTGCCAACACAGAAAAGTTTTCAACATACCTACAGACTACAGATGATGTCTACATTTGTGTCGAGTTGATTTTTATAGAGATAATTTATCCCAGTCTGAAAATCAGGGGGACCATATTAATAAATATAAAGATCAAAGTAAGACCCAAGATTTAACAGCGATTATTTTATTATATTTGATCTATATGGACTGTAAAAGGAAATTAAAATGAGACTCCTGAAGAGAGAAAAGCCTAAGAGCTTTGCACCAAAAATAAAAACAGCCTGTTTATATACACTTGATTTTAGCCAAAATAGAAACAGTTCAAAATTTATTTAAAAGTTTGTTTAATAGAGTATATGATATTTTTCTTTTGGTCATGTTTATTGCCTAGATTAAGAAAGTAGTGATAACAATCTAAAAGGATCCCAAAGCTTCCCCAAACTTGATCTGAAAATTAGCTTAGAAATAGCTGCTTATGGAAAGAAGCCTGCAGCATGCAGTGTTCTCCCTAACCCGAAAGTATCAAGTGAGTCCCTCTGTTTCTGTCTTACTAACATTGTTCTAATGATTCTAATAAGAGGCAAAACCAATTGTAAAAACAATATAACGTTTTGCAGGAAGTAGGTATTAAATGAGTTTAGTAATCAGCGCTTGCAAACATGCATAACTGATGCCAGAGAGAAATTGACCATCCCTAACTGCTCACTGAGTGGACAGGCAGTCGAAGGTAAGGTAGAAAACAGGGAGGCTGAGCTAAACTGTGTTAAAGAAAAGCATCTCGCGAGGTTTTCAAGGTCAGTTGATGAAAGTCACAGGGAAATTAACGTTTTTCATTTGCCCTGAAAGAGAAAGAGAACAAAAATTATAAGGAGCAAAATAAAATTCAAATGATTTGTAGTCCAAAATGAAGTTCCTTCGAAGAATAGTCAAACTGCAGCAGGCGAAAATGAGTGCCTTTGAATGATTTGAACGCCAGTGAGGTGGCTTCATTTTCAAGTCACATGCATCTGATTCACAACAGTCTCTGTCCAGAGGCGCTGGCTGTCAGTGATGGCAGCCTGGCTGAGTTTGCCGTCAGCACTTCCACAGTGGCAGCAAGGACAGGATGGAGGCAATGTGGAGCAGAGAAATTTAAATGGAAACGTATCAAGTTCAGGTGGACTTGCACTACGTTACGAGGCAGGGGGTGACTTCTACGGGGGAGACAGACTTATGAGTTCCCACCCGCAGTGCACTCCGAGGGTCAAGAAATCTCCACCAAGTTCTCTGCAATGCTGGGCCGCACTGCCCTGGGAATACACCGTTGCTGTTTCTTTGTAACACTCTGGGAAACTAAACTCTGGCGTCCTCAAAGGTCATAGCAAATGCTTAACTGCCCTTGAAGATGTAGGATTTAGGGTTTCGATAGCATCCCAAATCTTGCCTACTATTATCAGAGAAAATGTTACTTAAAGGGATTTTTTAAGTGTCCCATTCTAGGGAGCTTCATGAAGCCCAAAGAGGATTCTAGAAAACCAAACTACATTTCTAAATATAAAAGCACTTTAAAGGATTGAAGAAGAGATGTATAAACTGATAGGAGATGGCTGCAACTTAACTTACAATGATTTTGAGAGGGAAGGTCAGTCCCGTTTATTAACCCAACACATGCTTAGTGGAGGCCTGCTGCTTAGGTGTACCTGTGACATCTCAAGGAACAGCTATCTCTCTCCACGGGTTGCTCACAGTTGACTCTTTCCTGTTTCCCTCTTATCTTCCCTCTTTAGCTTTGCACTAGTTCCAAAGTTTCCTCCAAACCCCACCTATGACTTGGGGCATAGCTCTCCTCTCACATTCCTTGGGGAAACTCAACTCACTGACCAACTTCTAAATCAAGGCACTCATAATGTGCTCTTACACCAAATTCTGTCCAGTGTTCGTAGAAGGCGCAGTTTCGGACTTGGGCCTTTTGTATGTTGTCCTCTGATGAACAGATGTTTTAAATTTTAATGTAGATATATTTATCATTTCCTTTTGGTTGATATTTTGGATATTACAAAATCTATCATTTGTGGAATTTTATAAATAGCCACTTTAATTTTCTTCTAAACTTTAAAGTCTTTCTTCTCTTCATAAATTTTAATCTAACTGAAGTTGATTTTTACGAGTGGTTTCGGGAAAGGACATAATTTCAGGCGGGTACCTGACTGCCCTATAGTAGGTGCTGAAGAATCCATTTTCCCAAAGAATGTGCCCTGCCTTTCTGGGAAAGATCAAAATTCCAGAACTGGTTGAGGCTGCTGGTGCCCACTGTCTCTATGTTAAATGCTTGACAAAGATCCCACATATACCTCTTCGTATTTAGAAGTTAGCTATTTTTTGATTCTTTGCTTTCATTATAATTTAAATCTATATATTACTTGAAAGTTCATCCTTATCCACTAACAAGAGATAACCATTCATGTATTTATTCCCTAATGTCTTTCTACAACAATTTTTATGTAAAGTTCTGGCATCTGTGGTTGGTTCTTTTTATTATGCTTGTTTACTATTCCAAAGGTGTAGAAATGAAGTTGCATTATATATATATATAGATAGATAGATAGATTCTATATATCCACCAACATTACTGAGTCTTTATTTATGATAATAATTTCATTATAAATTCTCTTTCATGGTTTATGTAGATAATTGTATCTTTGAGACAATTTATAAATAATTGTTTCCCTTTCAATTCTTACATTTAATTTAAAGCAAATATTTTGATGCATTTTTATTATGGACTTTTGATGCTATTAGATAAAATGATTTCCTTGCTATTCCTAGTTTGCTAGAAGTTTTTAGTGAATATTAATATTTATCAAATGCTTTCTTTGTATCTGTTAAGATGCTCTTATAGAGGTTCTATAATTCATGAGGTGAATTATCACAGTAGTTTTATTTTGTTTTGTGATAAGCCAAGTTTGGATTACTGGGATAAATGCAATTTGGTGGGGATATGCTTGTTTTGTTTTTTTTTTTTTTTTAATGCTATTGAATCTCAAAGTTTTGTGGGCCGGAGATATAACTCAGTGGCACAAGCACCTTCTGCACAAGTGAAAGGTCCTGGGTTCAATTCCTAGTACCAAAAGAAAAAAATTTTGTGATTTTTTTTTTTTAGATGGGTGAGGTGGCACATGCCTATAATTCTAATACTCTGGAAGGCTGAGGTAGGAGGACTGTGAGTTCGAGCCCAGTCTGCAAAACTTAGCTCTGTCTCAATAAAAAACAAAAAAAGGCTGGAAATGTAGCTCAGTGTGAAGCCCCTGGATCAGCCCAGGTACCAAAAAAAAAAAAATTATGTTCATGAGTGAAAGTTAGTGTTTATCTTCCACAGTCTTTCTCTGATTTTAATTGAGAACCACATTTGTCTGCTCAATCGTTTTAGAGAACACTATTTTCACTTTCAAATTTTATAGACATTTGAAATAATATTTTCTTTGAACATGCTCATATATCTGGTAACCTGAACAACTACTATGAAGATAATATGCAATATAACATAATTTCCTATTATCTTGTTTTGAAATTCTGTATCATTTTTGATGATTTTTTCCTTATTTTTTATTCTTTTTAAAATAAAAAAGAATTAAAATCAGCATTCTAAGGGGTAATATGTTCATTACATCACTATTCACAGTAGCAAAGATGTGGAAACAACTTAAGTGTCCATCAACAAATAAATGGATGAAGAAAATGTGATAATACATACACGAATACTACCAGACCTTTTAAAAAGGGGAGGAAATTCTGTGATATGTGACAACATCGATGAACTGAGGGCAGTATGCTAAGTGAAATAAGCCAACCATAGAAAGACAAACACTGCAATATTTCACTTATGTGATATATCTCAAACAGTCAAGGCCATAGAAGCAGAGTGGAATGGTGACTGCCAGGGTCTGAGTGGGAGGAGAAAGGGAAATTCCTGACCAGGAGGGATAACATTCCATTTCAGGCAAGATGAATGTGCTCCAGAGACCAGCTGTGCCACTGTGTTAGTCAACAACAGTAACATACTTACACCTCAGAGTCTGTTCAGAGGGTAGATCTCACACTAAGTGCATTCAACATAATAAAATAAAACTTTATAAATGAAAATTTAGTAAATTTTTCCTAAAATCTCCCTTGGTCTGGCTTTTATTTTATGAGAAGACTTAAAAATTGATCTAGAGAGCTGGGCACAGTGGTGTATATCTGTAATCTGAGCAGTGTGTGAGGCTGAGGCAAGAGGATTACAAGTTTGAGACCAGCCTGGAAATTTAGTGACTTTTAGTGTATGTATCATTTTACATTTCTGCCAATAATCTGTAAAGAGTCTATTTACCCACAGTTTTGTAAACAGAGCATATTTTTAATCTTTTGGCTTTTTTTCCTCTAAATAATAGATGAGAAATGATATTTTGGTTTAGTTCTTTGGGGTCTCTTTTAGTACAATAAATTCACTGAGTTCCTTAATTTCAAAAATTGTATTTTCTATATCAGTATCCTATTTTGTTCTTTTTAAGGATTTTTTTTTTGTACCTGTCTGCAGTACACAATGGTGACCTTTGCTGTGGGGAGCTGATACATGTACAGAACATATCCCAATACTTTCTCTTCCCTCTCCTGCCTCCCTTTTCTGCCACCATCAGATTCATTTATTCATCTTGAAAGTCCTTATAAATCAGACATAAATCAGAAGTCCTTAATTATCAGACAGAGTAACAGCTAGACTAATAAGCCCCAAAACATGTAAGACAATTCTACTAAATCAAAATACATTGTTAGAGACATTGTCCATGCTGGATTAGAAAAACTTTTTCTCTTTTTTCCTATTATTTGTCTTTTATATCGTACTTCATTTATATACAGTATTGACTTTCTCATATAAGAGAAATCAAACTTGTGCATCTGATTTACTTTACTTAACATTATGGTCTCAATGTTTGTCTCTTTTCCTACAAATGACTCAAGTTTGCTCTTTTTATGGCAGAGTCGTACCCTGTTGTGTATAAATACCAACTTTTCTTCACTCATTCATTTGATGATGGACATACAGGCTGCTTCCAAATTCAGCTATTATGAATTATGCTGCTACAAATATGGGTGTGCATACATCACTGTGACTATATCTTTAATTCTTTCAGGAAGATACCTAGAAGGGGAATAGCTGAGTAAAATGGAATTTCTAGTTTTAGTTACCTGAGGAATATCCATATTGATTTCCATAGTAGCTGTATCAGTTTACACTCCCACCAACAATGAAGAAAGGATCCTTTCCCCCTCTCCACAGCCCTACCAAAATTTATTATTGGTTGATTTCTTGATGGTAGCCATTCTTTCTGGAGTGAAAGGGAATCTCGGTGCTGTTTTAATTTGTATTTCTTGAATGGCTGGTGATGTTGAACAATTTTTTTCATGTATTTATTGGTCATTTATATTTCTTTACTTAAGTGTCTATTTATTTCAGATGCCCATTTTTATTGGGTCTTTAAATTTTGGAGGGGGTCTAATTTTCTTGAGTTCTTTATATATTTGAGATATTAGTCATTTAGAAGTAGCTGGCAAAATTGTTTTCCCATTTTATAAGTTGTCCTTTCACTCTTTTGGTGGTTTCCTTTGCTGTGCAAAAGCTTTTAATTGGATGTTATCCCATTTGTTGATTTTTTGGTATTATTTCTTGTGCAACTGGGGTTCTGTTCCAAAAGTCTTTGCCTATCTCTATGTCTTCAAGTATTTTAACTGTTTTGTCTTCTGGCAGATTAAGTGTTTCTATTCTGTTTAAATCTTTGATCCATTTTGATTTTAGTTTAGTGCATGGGGAGAGATATGAATCTAG